GGTCAGAAGTTAACAAACTGCATCCAACAATTGGATAACCCCTGAAAAGGTGATGATCTAAAACACAATCCTCACAAATTGCACAGGGTGGCAACATGCAGTTTGATTGAAAACCTCTTTGAAGACATGGTTCACTAGTTTTTTTTATTCATTTGCATTGGTCTCAACAATAAATGAATGCTTTGTGAGTGTCTTCAGACTCTGTCAGCATTGTATCCGAGGTTCGGTCTTATTAAAATGGCACTGAACATGAAGGCAAGTCTAACTAATGATCTGGTTTGTGTTAAGTAGAGGAGAGCCTCTGTGGGACTTTAGGACCTAATCCAGGTAGGACTATATAGGCAGAGAGCTCAGCTCCCCTACAGATTCAACCACCGAGTTTATCTAAATCGCATTGAAAGGTTCTCTGGAAAACCTTTTAAAAACTAACCTAAGTGACCTGTACTCTGCTGAATTACGTTCTTTTAAATTGTTGAATCAACTGCAGGAGCTGGGCGTGATGAAGCTCCTTGGTTTTATTTGCATGAATTTACTTTACAAACATCAGAAAAGAGACACCTTCCTGATTCTGCCCAACAGCATCTCTCTCTTTCTCACAGACAGACAGGCAAGCACGCACACACACACACACACACGCACACACACACACACACACACACACACACACACACACACACACACACACACACACACACGAGACCTTTAACTTTCAGCAGAGTAAACACGCAGCTGGAATCGCGTCAGACTGAATCAAAGAGTTTAATTCTACAGCAGAACAAACACATGAAGAACTCTGCTGGAAAAATGATAGTTCCTCTAATACCTTAAAAATTCCAAGACTTAAAGGACCTTCATGAGTATTTCCATTCCTTGCTTCATATTTTCTTCCATCACTGAGCCTTTCCGCTGCTTCCTTTCCCTCTTCTATAATTCTTTCTTCTTCCCACCATTGTCACATTTCCATCCTGCTTTTTGCTCCTACTTGTCCCTCCACCTGCTCACAGCACTTTGGCCAGCTGCCATGCTGTTTTAATGTGCTTTAGAACTAAATTTGGTATGGTTGGTATGGTATTAATTATTATTCCCATTATTTTTCCATGTTCATTGCCGTATTTTTGTTTTTGTTTTGTCCATTTACCTCTTCAATTCTTTTTTAACCCTTCATTTATAGCACTCTGTCCTTTAATAGCTTACTGCCTATACACACACGCACCTTTGTTATTAGGTTTCTTCAAATTATTCTCTAAGTGTTGGTGCTGCTGTAACAAGTGAATTTCCCCACAGTGGGATCAATAAAGTCTTTTCTATTCTAGTATCTATGTTCCACCCACTCTCTTCTCTTTCTACCATCATGTCCTTCCACTCTTTCATTATTTTATCTTCCCATTTTTTCTTTCCTTTCTTCCTCTAAAACATTAAATCTCCAACCTTTTTCTTCCCTTTAACCTTTACTCCGTTCCATCCTTCATTCTATCATCCCACCCTTCTCTCTACTATCATGAATCTTTGTTTAAAACTTTTTCATTCCTTCATTCCCTCTTCCTTTCTTTTCTCCCAACCGACAGGAAAAAATGAGTAAATTTGAGTCCATGGGACCAAATGTACTCCTCTTCACTTATTTTAGTAAAATGTACTCCACTTGAGTAAAATTAACACTACAGATGTTGCTGTTCCCTCCCCTTCCATTCTCCCTCCCTCCCTGTTTCCTTCCTTGTATCCTCCCTTCCAGCTGACCATATTTCTGTAATCTAAGCAGCATAACAATCTAACTTTATTTAGGCTCTTATGAATATCTGAAGAGGACAATTATTTACTTACAGTCAACAGAAATCCACTTTTAAATCAGACTAAACAAAAACATCCTTTTGAGTTTGTATTTTTTTAACACATACTTTTAATGTTTGCCTGTTAAATCAGTATAGGTCACCAGTCTTCACTCAGAAATCAACATTAAATAACAATATTATTCAGTCAGTTTTGCTTGTAAAAGGCTATTGTGTAAAATTAAAGCTAAAGTCCTAAAACAGGAGATGCAGTTTTGGTCAGACACATTCTTTAATTTACTGTACAGTCATGCTAAAATTTGCCAAATTCACCTCAAAGGTGAACTAACTAAAATAAACTCTGATTTGTCTCTGTGAATCAAAAACTAATTTGTCTAAAGGAACTTCTTTTGCAGCTTCTTGCAGCCATCTTTCTGTGTGCTAGCCAACAGCTGCTCCATCATCTCCTGTTAAAGTTATTTAGCATCAATAAATCATCTGATGAAGACTTTTAGAGACCTGTGCTCCGAGTGATACATCTTATGAATAATGAAGTTCTATAATGAAATTATGGTTTCACTTATGCTTAGACGTACAGATTTCTGAAGATGATAGTGTTGAATTTACAGAGAAATTATTAATATGATATAAACCTAAATGCACAAAACAAGGAGCAAACATTTAATGTTCCACCAAGGAAGATAAAATAAAAATTGTTATTCATTTTTAATTAACTTGATGAAAAATGTGGTTATAATAATAATAATAATAATAATAATAATAATAATAATAAGTATTTTATTATAATTTATATATATATATGAATTAAATCAGAAAAACGTTTTTCAAACAGTCCCTTATTTTTAGACTTCTTTTGTAGTTTCTGTAAGTTAATTTCAGGGACAAGAATGTGTTCTGAGTTATTGATGCTACATAATGCCCAAGGATACTTTGACACATAGCCTGGGATCGAACCGCTGACCTTCCCATAAGTGGCCAGTCACTCTTCCCCCTTATTTTATCCAACTTCTCATCACACTTGTCCTGACTTGGTAGCAGATGCTTTAATGGAAGGTTCACATCTTTTGAAGAGTTTTCTTGTGATAAAAGGCATCTTACCTTTTGTAGTCAGCTCTTTGAACATTTTCAGTGCAATTCTTAATAGTTTTGTAAACCTTTAAATTCTGAAATATGGAACGAGGCAAAAATCTACTTTTTATAACTGAACTACTATTTGTCTAAAGTTAATATAAATTTATAAAAATACTTTTTTTATGTATTGATATAAACAGTAACAGACAAATCAACTGGCCCTTGCCACCTGTAGAGAACTGGATATGACGATGAAGGTACCAATCGTGATCCTCCATATGGACACTTTAGGGCTAAAAGTGATTTTATATCAAATATCTACATGATACTAACAGCAAATATAAAGTTTCCATCATTAAGAGATGTGAGATGACAGAAATTTTACACCACAAGTTTTCTTACCATTTATTTTACATTTTAACCAGCCAATGAGTGTACAGTTTAAAAACAATCCCACAAAAACTTCAGCTCCCAGAATGCATTGCGAGCAGTGTTACTACTGCTCTCATCTTACAAACTCAGGTGGCTTTGTCTGAGAGTCCACACTAAACTTTTCGGTTAATCTTTGCGGCATCTTTGAAGCTGCAATGTATTTTTAGGAAGAATATACATTTTTTTGTTCATGCAACCTGTGTTCAGGAATAAATGTCTTTTAAGTCATTGTCAGGGGGAAACAATATACTGGTGCACATCACAGCTGCACTTCAGACAGCAGGTTTTGGAGTCGTATTTCCTGAAAGTCATCACGGAATTATTAAAACATTTTTTTTATTTTTTATTCTTTGTTTATTGTGAAGGGCCCAATGATTTTTATCTTGACAGGTATTATTTAGAAATAATACATTTTTCAGTTTCTTCTAAGACTATACCGAATTTCCTGTCCAAAATAACACTACTCTACCCACACTTCCTGTTTGAAACATCTGCCTGGCGGACAGAGGAAGAGACGCTGACGTAGTGACTGACTGACAGAACCCCCAGCCCCCACCTGCGCGCTCTCAGAGCTACTCAGTTGGAGGAACGAGCCGTTAACAAGCGCATGCACTTGCTCACAAACCCAAACACCGCTCAGTCGCATAGCAAACAGAGAAATTGCAACAGGCTGGAGAGTTTTTTCTCAAACTTCGATCACTAGAAGAAATGGAGTAGGATGTTTTTAAAGGAAATGAGCGCCTCTGAGCCATATCATTTCATGTTGGCTCGTGACGCAGCTGCGGCTTGGCCAAGGCTGCAGTCCAGTCCAGTGCTGCCACGTAATACGGTATTGGTGATGTCACTGGGTACCCCTAAGCAAGACGCAATGGCTGATTAAAAATCAATGTAGAGCAGAGTTTAACCTGAAGATGGAACAAAAATGAATGTTTTAGGCTGAAATGTTATATTTTAAATAAGATGCATTAATAATGAGTACACCTGTCTACAGCACCAGACACTCATTTATATATCAGCAAAACTGATGATTTAGAGGTGACTCGTTCTTTAATAATAATATTGTTTTTCTGACATCTAAATAACATGTTTTGCAAAGTGTGTACTTTTTTTTCATTAATATTGAACACTGATATAAGAAGGCCTCTTTCTTTTTCAGCTAACATCAACAACTACTCGGTTGGTACTTCTGGAGAAAAATATATTTGTCCTAGTGAAACAAAAGCTGTGGTGAAAAAGGGGCTGAAAACTTGACCAATTTCCCCAAAAATAAATGTTTACATTTCCAAACAATTGTCAAATCTGAGTCTTGGCTCAATTTCCCATGACTGCATAGCACCTTTATAATGTTTTATATGATGTTTTTTTTCTGAATTTTTCAGTGTGAAACACCAAAATAATCAACAGGGTCTTTAAATATGTGGTAGGCTCCGATTTAGCTCAAACATCCATGACCTCCATCACAGACAATGTTTAAAGATGAGCTCTGATTCCACTCACTCTATGTGATGGACGTTCTCACCGCCTTTCTGCCAGACGTAGGTCATGTTGGGGGGGTCGGCCACTGCCTGGCATTGCAGAAGTGCATTCTGGGACATGTTGAGAGTTGTGTCTTTAGGGGGCACAAGAATGACAGGTGGACCTATGAAAACAGGACACAAAATTCAGCAAATTCATGTGTTTTTTTAAAAAGACCATTTTAACAAAAGGATGGTAAAATGTCAAAAAAAATATTTTCTTTTTATCATCACCCAGAAATATAGTGAGCAGGGACAAATACATTTCAGATTTTTTATAATTTCTACATAGATTAAAAAAAATTGAGCCAAGTCAGAAAAATCTAACCGAAAACTATAAAAACTTTTATTTAAATTAAATGGCAACAAGTGTACAGCATAAAAATAAATGAAATATGATTACTGTAACAACGTTCAATTCACACAAACATAAAACAATAAATTCTGTCTCCTGTCAGTCAGAGTTTATGGTTCAAGTTGGTTTTTTACAAATGGTCACATCCCACCGGTGTCCTGGTTTGGTTCCCATCGTCATTAAGTATTTTCCAGCCCATGAGCCTGTCTGCTCTGCCCTTGTTAGGTTCAGCACTGATCGTTTCCCTCTCAGTTCCTTGTGTCCATACATCTCCCCCTGTCAGGTGTCGGCTCATCTACATGTCTTCCTCCTGTTTGCCAGTTTGTTTTTAGTTTGGGCCTCATTCAGTGGCTGGAAATATGTTGATTTTTTTTCTTCTCAGTTCATTAAATTTTTGCCAGCTGTGTTTGATGATTGAGTCGTATTTTGAACAGGACGATCCAAGAACAACATGTTTTTAATTTACCCATTACATGTGGATGTTCTCTTTTCCATTTCTGATTCATCAAGTTTGAATAGCTTTTTTATGTTTATTTTGTCATTTCAAACGTATTAAAAAATAAAAACCAGATTCACTGGATTTTTGTTTTTGCAGAAACAGTTTAAATGCAGAGCGCTGCAAAACTTCTTTTGCTGAAAATGTCTGAAGCCTGAGCTGAAGCTGAACTATCAGTATTAGCTAAAATGCTTTGACCATTTGAAATTTGAGCAAAAAAATAGTAATTTGGTGACTCTGCTAAAAGAAAACTGAAGAACATAAAATCCAAAGTTCTAAAGGCTTTGCTGAAGGGTAAACACCAGAAAACCTTTCAAAAGCTGAATCACACGGTAACAGCTCAAAGTCTCCTGAGTCGTTTAAACTGAGTGAAGCCTCTATCAGTCTGAAGCAGTTCACCTTTAAAAAACACAAAGTTTTGATAATTATTTCAAACAGTTAAGGGATTTTAAATTAAAAGTTCTAATGGGTTTAAAAAAAGAGACAAAAAAGCTGAATATCATAAGAGTTATACAGATTAATGCTAAAAGCCATAGCCGTAAAGTCCTGAACGAGCTGCACGGTTCGATATAAACTCAGTCAAAGCAGCTGAAGAAGAACAGGTTCAAAATGTGTATGGAAACAGATAACATCCAAATAAGAAGTGTGTCTAACTGGGTTAAAGTGGGGATTTCCCTATTGCCTCAGGAATGCATCGCTCATAAATTCTAGTTGTTTCTGATTCGATGGATTTCAGGTGCCAAGAGAATAAACAGCACAAGAGAGGAGAGCAGGACTTGTCACAAGCAATTAGTCCAAGGTAGAGGAGGGACCTGCTGCTTTGAGCAGATTGTTTTGGCTTATTGATCTGTGATGTTTGTACACCACCCTGCTCCTGGATGGCCTAGTAGTGTAATGGTACACATAAGTCATAGCTGGGTACTACCATGGGTTTAGAGTTAAAAATGCACAAATCGTGACCCATGTGTTCTTTTATATACAGATTTAATCCCCTGTTCTGCTTTGCTTACCGTTTCCTTTTTCCTGACTGGATGTACCAGTCATTGAGCTCTGTACGATGGTGGCTTGGTAAAAATACTTGCTATGTCTCTACTAGTGGTTGTTGTTAATGTTCTGATTTAGAAACAGGTTTAAAGAAGGTTCCATCATTTCATAATGAATTTCATCACTCACATTGCCTTAAGAGCTCAGTGGGGACAGGCTCTCATAAGCTGCCACAACGAACCGGACGAACCAAGGAAATGAACCCTGGTCTATTGGACCAATTATCTTAGGTGAGAACGCATCTTTAAGACATTCTGTGTAGGGATTATAATAAACACATTTCCAAAGAATGGACACTGGTTAGGAAAAGAAAAGGTATAGACTAGTGGATCTTATAGGGGTTGAGCAGTCTGAGGAGCAGACTGAACGGTCTCATCCTGCAAACACCTTTGTGTATTAATATAGCAGCAAATCACGACAAGAGTCATCTCAAGGTACTTCACAAAGTAATCATTCCTGTTCTAAGTCATCCCTTAGCTGTGTCAGCTTATGCGGATGATGTGAATTTATTTATTCACAATCAGCAGGATGTTCAGGAATTAAAAGGCAGTTTAGATTGATACAAAAAGCCTCTATAGCCACGGTTAACTGGGAGAAGAGTGAGGCATGCATAGTGGGGGAGTGGGACTCTAGTAATGGCCCAGCTCTGCCCGGAGTGTTGAGCTGGGAGAGTGGAGGTATTAAAATGTTAGGAGTGTAGCTTGCTAGTGAAGAGTTTCAATAACGGAATTGGTTGGTTGACTTAATGGAAATGACTGCTGCCTCAGCTGTCCCAGGGAAGAGTTCTGAAAAAAACCTGGTTGCCTCGTTTCTGTGGCACAGACTGCTTGTAGAGAGGACAAGGACTGATGGACTTGGTGTCTAGAAATGCAGATTTCAGACTGCTCAGGGGATACTTGATTGTGAAGCACATTTCTGGCTGCCCCTCACTCACCTCCTTCTATGAAGGGCTGGTAAGCTTGGGCTACACAAACACCTGTTCTTGCTGAAACCTGATGGACTGGATTTGAAAGGACCAACACCCTTTTACTCACCAGTAAGTGTTCAAACTGCTGAAGCTTACATGAGAACCTGACCTTGGACCAGGGGGGTGGTTACTGGAAGAATCTATGTTTGACAGTTGTTCTTTTTAAAAGAAACACCATACCGGCAAATCAGCATAATATTACCGCAACAGTGCATCCTATGAATGTGCCATGCCAGCACGGCGATGCACACATTTTGCAGCATTCGTTCAGCCTCTCTTGGTAGTAATTTTGCAGTAAATGTCTGTCGGACAAAAAAGGCTTCCTGATGTCGCTTCAGCATTGCAGCAAATTGATGGCATTTATTTTTTTTAAACGGCTAATGACTGTTTTTTGAGAGCTGGGATTTTAATTTGGTCACCTGCTGAACATCTCAGCTGGAGCCCTGAAGGAGCTGGTTGACATTAAGTCTATCAGAGTAATGAAGATGTGGTGGAAGAGTTATGGAGGTATTTGTCAGTGCCACTGAGAGCCTTTACTGAGAATTGTGCACCATCTGAAAATGGGACATGACCGAGTCCTTTTTCCCTCTCTGGAGGTCAGACGAGCTATTGATTGTTGGCAGGAGGAGAGTGGATCACTCTGAACACGCCTGTGTTGGGCTCTATTCTTGTGAGAAGAAACAGCTTTATTTAAGCTCGCCTGAAAATCAAACATGCTATTTATGAACGCAACAAGTTGAACGCAAGCTTGTGATTGGTCAGGACACCGCTGTCATCTACACCACCGCCATTGTGCCCTCAAAAACATCGAGAGTCAAGGCTGTCTAGTGGCAGACACGGATGGACACTGACACGGAGAAGCTTGTGAAAAAACTCCAATATGAACGTTTTATTCGCCCGTGACTGCATTTTATTCATGGAAGCAAGTGATGGAGTTCTAAACCTGGGTTTAGAGGTGGTGAGTGCATTTAGATGTGGAAGAGGATAAGTGACAAATTTGTTTGTGATAAAAAGTATCTTAAATACAAAAAACACAAAATAATGCACCATCTTGGACCGGATACATGACAGGATACCACAGAACCACGCTACGCCCTCTGCTGTCCTGACGGGGAATTGCTTTGCAACACTCCCCAGGAGAAGGAGAAGTATTAGGGAAAATTGTCTCCATGTGTGTATCTCCCTCGTGGAGCTGACAGAGAAGTTGTTTGGTTTAAACATGTTCGGTTTTGTTATCGTTATAGTTTTGGTGTAAGATCCCGGTGTTAAAAGTTAATTCTATTGTTTTGGACTGGAAAAACATAAATAATTTGAAAAGTCAAAAGTCCTATAGGGGTTTTAAACATCATTACTCAGCATGACTTGATTTTGATCAGGCCAGTGTGTGTGTGTGTGTGTGTGTGTGTGTGTGTGTGTGTGTGTGTGTGTGTATCACATCCTGGTAACCCTCTTCCAGGTCTCTGCCACTTCATCACTTTGCTGTGTTAGCTTCTCCTCCATAGAAAAAGTCTCTAATCTGATTTCCTGCACCAAATTTCAGCCATCAAACTTCTACTGCTCTCAGCACTAGTAGGATCTTCAATCGCAACTTAAAATTGTGTTGTGAATGTGCTGAAAATTCATTTTTCATCATCACTGGCTTTCTGAAATGATTGAAGCCTTGCAGCTAAATGTTAACAAAAGTTAGTTGCACAATTCCCCATGTTACTTTATAGACAATGAGCATTTTGATATATGTGTTAATATAAACAATGGCAAAGGTCAGCAAGAAAAACAAAGAAAAATAGAAAATAGTCAAACATAACCTTTTAGGAAATAACATAAAAACAATTTTCTGAGGACATTGTGTTTTCAAACATAAAACATAATTGCCTTAAAAACTAATCAGACCCAGCCGGTGCAGAGTGGTGATATGGTGACCCATTTATTTGCCCTACCAGCATGTGAGCTCTCTGCAAAGAGCTAATAAACAGAAGCCTGCCTGATGCACAACCACATAATCTGTGCAGCAGTCATTACAGCTCAGGTCCATAATCTAACATGTACGATGGAAGTGTGCATGAGTGACAGTTTAGAGGTTAGCTTTTAGATGCCATCTGAATCAGATATTAGTTTTGGCTAATCCACCCGTGTGGCAAAGCCCAGATCGAGTGACTTAGACCACGTGATGATGAGGATTATTAGTCTAAATGTGACCACTCCGACCGAGAGATCATGAAATTAAAATCAAACTTGATGAGACTCGATGCCAAAATATATATATAAATATATTTGCCATGCTGCTGATGAGTCTCCTGGTTCTCCTGAGGAATATCAGCAGTAGGAGTTGTAGTAGGAGTACAAGAACAAGTCTGAAATAAATGCAACACGTTCTCATGCAGAGCTGTGTCGGTGTAATCCAATGATGCACAGTTGCTTATTTGCATATTCTCCGTGTGTTTCTCCTCAGAGTGGACTCTAAATCTGTAACCTGAAACCATCAGAAAAACTGGCAGATTTTCCTCCCAGAGACATTTTTATGTTACAGCCATGATTTTTGACACCTGAAAATTAGAAAATACTTTATAACAATTAAACCAAGCTCTTAAAGGGACTTTACAGAGTTTTGAATTTTTATGCTCGCGATTGCCCCCTCAGGCCAAAAGCGTAACGGCAGCTTCAATAATAGGCTCGTGCACGAGGCGCGCATGCTGTACGTGCACACTCCTTAACAAAAATAACAGCTGAGACAGTTGTGTGTGTGTGTGTGTGTGTGTGTGTGTGTGTGTGCGTGCGTGCGTGCGTGCGTGCGTGCGTGTGTGTGTGTGTGTGTGTGTGTGTCCCGGAGGACAGAGGACAGGAGAACGCACAGCTAATTAATTAACTAATTTGGTTCTGTACTTTTCTCTTCAGCACAGCCGACAAAGGTTTAAGACGGATCAGTCCTCCTGCATGCTCAGATCATTCATTCCCTTGCTTGAAAAATTGTTCCAAAATGAAAGTTGAACCCACATCTTTTTTATCTGTGAATGCAATGCCGTTCGGCGAGTCTCAAAAATTTGGGCATCTTGCTGTAAAAAAATATACCATTAATGTAAAAAAGAAACTCTAAATGAACTATGTTCACACCCAGAATCAAACCCGGGTCTTCTGCACGAGAGACCAACGTCTTACTAGGTGAGCTAAAGTGCCAGTGATGTCTTTTGTATCTGTAACATTTATATCCTTGATAACAGCTGAAACAACGTTCAAAGAACGGTTCGGAGCGAAAATGGCTATTTTGTTGCTAATTTGCAGGAAATATCTAGAAGAAAGTTCTACAGAAAGTAGCTAAGGGTCCTCAGAAATGTAGCTAGCTTTGTCACTAGGCGTTAGGAACAGCAACAAAGTGGCACTGCCTCCCTCTCTGCTGCTAAAGCTACGGATAGCAAATGCTACGGGCTATGCCTGAGCGTGAACTCGCATGAAGCAGCCTGCTCGACCCGAGCAGCTCTCTTTTTCTGTGATTTTACAGAAAAACAGGCAATCACAGTAAAAATGCCAGGGCTCATTCTACAGGACCAGGGCATTGCAGGAGAATGTATGAAGAAGAAATTTATTATTTCTATACATGTTTTGGCTGTCAAACTTCCATAATGCCCATTTAAACCTCAGATGACATATTCATTCATTATGATTTTAAAACCTTTTTTTTTGAGTGACAAAATAAGGGTAAAGTTTAGTTTGGGTTTCTATTACGTCTCTTTTGTCTGATGCAAGAAGAAGAAAGAGAAATGTAAATCTCATTCTCTTTAAGCCGGTCGGGCAGAGAGACGTCTCAGCGTTTGAAGGGACTGGAAGGCAGAAAGAAAAACGCGCAGACAAAAAGACAGACAGAAAACAACTGACCTTTGATCTTCACTGTTGTCACGCGAGTCAAGTTTCCCTCCGAGTTGGAGGCGTGGCAGGTATACTGTCCGGCTGATTGTGCGGTCACTGCTGGCAGAAATAAAACTCCTCCCTGATAAATATGATTTGAAAGGAAAACAGAGACATTAATGGGCATGAAAATAGAGGGCTGGTGACTAATGATAGGTACATAAACACAGGGAAGTGAAATGTGCAACAATTTGCGTAGCTAGTACACAGCACTGCAGGCACAACGTAGCAAAACTAAGTGGAGAGGGCTGTTTGTCTCGAGAGTTTTGTGTTTTTTTAACCCCCAAGCAACGGTAGAACAACCCACTGATGATATATCTCTACACTTGCTCCAAAGTGAAGGAAATTAGATCCTTGGCATCAAACTGTTTAAATTCACACCCTAATTCTCAGACATAACACTAGAAGTTACACATTCAATGCAAATCAAAAGCAGGCTGTGGGGGACAGACGCCCTTACGAGCAGCTTGTCAAAAAAACTTCATGAGCGCGGCAGCGCAGAGACGGGCCCCTTACCCCCTTTATTTCGCCATCACGCAATGTTTTGTTAAAAAAAGACATGACTGGGCCACATTTCCACCACGGTCTGACCACTTATAAGCGACCTAAAGCTCCCAGATGCCGGCCGCAAAATGCAGTGGACAGCAACTATCAGGGATTTTACTGGAGTAAAGGAGATATCGCATAACTGGAATATTATTGGATAATTATAATGTTGATCCCCAGTTTGTATTCCAGCATTAAAACCAATAACAAATGCTCAATAAGGTTGTAAAAATTTATTTCTATCCATTGTTTGTGCTTATTGCTCTAAAAAGTGAAGTAGCTTCATACATTTTACAAAGCCAGTTTCCAGACTTCAGATGGTAAATTTTATAATGAGGTCACAGGTAAGGTTTTCAGTCTCAATTATTTTATAGAGCCAGTTTTTTAAACTTTGAGTCACTTAATTAAACACTCCTGCAGGTTTTTTTAACCACTTTCTTATGACAAAAAATATCCACACATAAACACCTAAATGGCTCATTTGAATGTCAGTGTTAATTTATTCTTCTGTCTTCAGCTCCAACATTTTACAGAAAAACAAGATAAAGGCTACAAAGGCAAATTTGAAAAACAAATTTGTTTAAAACACATTTTTTCATTCCTCTTTAATAACTTTCTAAATCCGTTTTTACAAAACAAGGCTGTCGATTTGCGGTGGTAGCATCAGGGGGCCTTAGGTTGTGGTCAGATACTGGTGGTAATGTGGCGCAATCGTGGTGGTAAAAAGGGGGTATGGGGGCTGTGTCTGTACAGCCACAGACTTCAATTTATCATGGACATGACTTGCTTTTTAATGCGAGATGAGCACTGATTAGGTTTTTTTCATGCCGCTCGTAAAGGTGTCCTTCCAACACCGTCCCTTAGCAGTCTAAGATGATCTGAGCTCCAGCTCTAATGGAGAAAAGCTCCCAAAGCCGTGTCAGCTGATTTTGTTCAAAAAGCGAAAAGTTTACTGTCATTTTCAATATAGTTGTTGGCCGGAGCTCGGAAGTACTGGTTGGAAAGGTTCTCCGCTTGCTTCTCACACCAAACCTCACCCTGGGTTCTCATGTCAGTTCTCTTGTTCGCTCTTCCTTCTTCCATCTCAGGAACATTGCTAAGCTGAGTCCCATTCTGTCTCGCTCTGAACTTGAGACAGTTATCCACACCGTCATCTTCTCACACTTAGACTATTGTAACTCTCTTTTCACGTGTCTGAGCAGAACCTCCCTGAACCGTCTACAGGTGGTTCAGAACGCCTGTGCTCGGCTTCTGACCAAGTCCTCCAAACACACCCACATCACCCCACTTCTCCTCCAGCTTCACTGGCTGCCAATCAACTTCAGGGTTCATTTCAAGATCCTGGTTCTGGTCTATAGGGTCTTACATGGACAAGCACCATCATACATTGGTGATCTTCTCTGTCCCTACACCCCCAGCAGGTCCCTGAGGTCCAGTGATCAAAGCCTACTGGTTGTGCAGCACCAGGCTAAAGACCAAAGGTGACAGATCATCTGCTGCTGTGACCCCCAGACTCTGGAACTCTCTCCCCATGAGCCTGAGATCAGTGGACTCAGTGGTCTCCTTTAAAAAGCAGCTGAAAACTCACCTGTTCAGGCTGGCTTTTGTATGATCTTCTTCACCACTCTCTCTTTATTCTGCTCTCCCCACCTATTCCACCTTCCTCAGGATCCACTGATTTCCCTCTTTCCTATTTACTCTCTCTCTTTCTTAACATTTTTTATCACAATTGTCTATTTTTTGCTCATTTTAAATATATTTTTAACCACTTTCTGAATTATTTTTTATATTTTTACTTTTTTTGTTTTTGTGAAGCGCTTCGTGATTTTTATCTTGAGAGGTGCTATAGAAATGATCTTTTCTTCTTCTTCTTCTTCTTCCGCTCAATAATGTCAGAGAAGGAGAAACATCTGCTACCACTTCAACTTTAGGACAAACTACCAGAGTCCCAAAAAGAAAAACACCATCTGAAGTCACGAACAAAAGAGGTTTGGACCTAGAAAACAATGACTGCTATTTAGCACCATCTTGTTTTTGTGGGCATGGTGGGTTTCCGGTTCTGGAGGAAGCACCTCAAGGAAGATACCTGAGGGGAGAGGTGAGTGTTCTGTGACTGTGTTTGTGTTCAAAACCTAGCTTGTTTGCATATTCGCTATAGAAGCTTTCAGTAAAATACTGAGGAAAAGATCAGTGCCCCGTTTGACTTGATCACTAATTACTGAAACATTAAAAAATGAAACAGTAAAGAAAAAATTACAAATTAATTATTTTCTTTTTTTATGCAGAAATCTTTTATAACTTCACTTATTATTATTTGGAGCATCTCCCCTGGTTTGAAACAGTGAGCTAAAACAACACTCAAACCAGTTTTGTTAAAACTTTTTCGGTGATAAAAATAAGTCATGAACTGAGCTTAGAAAGGACAAAATGTATTTGTATGAAAGTCTCGTGGCAACATTATATTTATGTAAAGTTAGTCCCGATTTACCTGGAAGTTTAACCCCTGGATCAGGCTGCCATCTTTCAGCCAGGTAATGGTTGGTGTAGGGTTGCCATCAACAACACAATCCAGGGATAGAGGACTCCCGACTAGAGCTTCAAATACAGGAGGCGGAGCTTTGGTGAAGGTGGGTGGAGCTGTTGGAAAAAAAAATACAGAAAACCATAATATCATCTTGAGGGAACACAAAAATACTGGCTATCTTTATGCTCATTTTAAAGTAACTAATGATTTTTGGGAATTGGGCGGCGGTGGCACAGGATATAAGCGCTTGCCCCATAATCAGAAGGTTGCAGGTTCAATCACCGCCCAGTTTGTTGCTGTCATTGTGTCCTTGGGCAAGACACTTAACCCACCTTGCCTGCTGGTGGTGTTCAGAGGGACCGGTGGCACCTGTGTAAGGTAGACTCGCCTCTGTCAGTGCACCCCAGGGCAACTGTAGCTATAATGTAGCTCATCACCACCTGGGGGATGAGGACCAACGGAACTTTAAGACAGAGAGGAAATTATCTCTGTCTGGCCCCAAAACAAGTTCTTGTCTGAATCTGGTGCCCTTGAGCCTGTGAGGCTGAAGTGATTACTCTCCCTCAGAAGAAATATGGAATGCTGCCGTCGCCATGGCAACTTTGTCTCCCTATCCTAGCCTGGGCGGGACTGCGACCGTTGAATCGTTCCAGGAGTCACTGTGCTCCCTAAACCCAACCCACCCCCATTCAGACGGAGGTGACGAGCGCTGCTTATCGTGGCTGCATGCACTGATGTTTGGAGAGTCCCCAACCCTACCTCCCCACCTAGTAGGCACTTATGTTGTGTAATGTCTGAAGTCTGTTGCATTTCTGTCTGAGGTGTTTTTGCATAGCAAAGCTGTCCTCCCTGTGGTGGGTAACTCTGAAGTGCCTTTTTTTCCCTCCACCTGACCCAATCCTCATATAAACCCCTCTGATCTCTATTAAGGTACCGCGACTCGGGTTGCGAATAACCACAGTCACCAATTCTTGTCATGTGTCTATGTATGTATGTATGTATGTCTGATCTCAGAATTGTGTGTACTGAAACTCTAATTTCCCTCTGATATTAATAAAGTCTCTTTGAATTGAATTGAACTGAAGTGAATCAGCACCTGGGTGTGAATGTGTGTGTGAATGGGCTGTAAAGCGCCCTGGGGGGTTCAAGGACTCCAGAAGGTGCTATATAAAATACAGGCCATTTACCATTAATGGGAAACGTTAAAGCTGAAGCACGGTTGGTCAAATTTAAAAAATGGCCTTTTTTTGTGTTAGCTCTGATTAATGTGGCAGCCATCTTGAGTCAGGCTGACTCCAGATGTTGACCAGCTGTAGATTTGGATCAATTCATGTTTTTCCAAAGTTGGCGTGAGACATTTTGCTGACAGACAGACAGGGTTGACTACAGCTGTTTAATCAAAGCACTTTGAATATGTGAGGGGCCTGAAGTTTCGCTACTGCCACAACAAAAATATTTCACTGCGTTGCAGACAAGTTAAGTGCTTGCCTTGTAGTCAGAGGGCTTCAGGTTCATGTCCCACCTGTCAGTCATTGTGCCATTGGGCAAGACACTTCATCCAGCTTGCCTGCTGGTGGTGGTCTAAGGGGCTGGTGGCACCCGTGTATGGTAGCCTCACTTCTGTCAGTGTGTTCCAGGACATCCGCGCCGGCATTGTAGCTCATCACCATTGTGTGAATGTGTTTGTGAATGGGTGAATGACTGGTTAGTTGTAAAGCACCTTGGGGGGTATAGAACCCTAGAAGGTGCTGCATAAATAAAGGTCATTTACCATTTAGCAGCTGATAAAAGTTTGGTTGCAGATGAGTCCAGTGAAGACTGATTATAAAGCAGAGACAATAGGAGACACATAGTAGTGGTGTCTAATCTCAGGGTCTGAGGTCTATCCTTCAGCATGCTTCAGTTGTTTCCTTGCTCCAACACACCTGATTTATCAGCAGCTCATCAAGCTCTGCAGAAGCCTGTTAATCACCTACTGATTAAAATCATGTGTGTCCTGTTGCTCAAATAACTATGGCTTGTTAATTGATATCAAAATGAATTATTGCTCCATGAAATGAAGTTAACTTGTCCGTTTTAGACGAGACTTTCTGGATCCCCTACAGAAAATGCTTAGGTGGAACTTCTTGAGTCTCTACAGATGACCCTTTATCTTCAAATCTGACAAGATGCTGCTTATTACATGTTGTTAATTCTTGCCCCCCTTAAACAAAAGGTTTCTCATTAAATGGATGTGTCGATAGCTGAGATCTTCAATATTTGGGTTTCCACCCTGAGAAGGGCACCGGCAGCCTTATTTGTTGAGAAAAAGAGCAAAAAGTAAGTGAAAAGCATACCTGCAGGGCATGTCACGGAGGGCCTGAAGTACACAGTCAGAATCGATTATCATTCTCATCTCTAACCTGAATCTCACACAGACCGGCTCGCAGAAGCTGCCTCTCCTCGCTTTGATCTGCGGCACGCTGATAATTTCTTCTGTTCGTTTGTGCGTGGAATGATAGCAAAAGGTTTGCCAACATACAGATAAACTTCAAAGCAAAAAAATATAATGATGCATATTTCATATCAAGATTTAATATTTAAACGTATCAACAAGTACGATGATAACTCTGTAGCGGTCGGCCATTATTTTCCCGGAGTGATGTGTGAGGTTATTAAAGCTTCCATATTACCTGATCCGTGTAGGAAGTTTAGACACTTTAACAAAGTTCCTTAAACAAGGAAAGTTATAGTTGAAAGAAGTTTTTAATACTTAGTAAATAACACCTGTCACACTATGATGCCTAAACAGGCAGTGCTTTGTAGAAGAAAATGTAGGAGTAGAATGGAAATTTCAGATTTGAAAAGGGGAAACTGCTTAATGAGGCTAAAGAAACAGTGTTCTGTCTTTCTACCTTATAAATAAATAAAATCAAGTCTGTGGTGAAAGAAAGGAAAATGTAATGTTGAATTCAAACAAGGGCTCCTTCAGAGACAATTTATATCTTCAGTTGAAGTATTTTCTCCCTCCAGTCATTATGAAGAGTGAAGGATAAAAGGAGTTTGGGGAAACGTGAAGACTTGTGTGATCCAGCCAAGTTTACACAGTTTTAAACCTAAAGGAAATTTGGGTTTTTATCTGTTGTTTTGCTGGGTTGGGAGAGAGTCATTGGCTAAAACCAAGAGTTCAAACATCTTGGTGTCTTGCTGGGCGGCCCCCATCTCTGATCCTGTTTGCTAGACCTAGCTGGAGAAGATCGTGGGTGTTCAGTCTGGCAAGCAAAAGGCCAGAAGCGGTGGCCTTCACTGAGGCCAGAGTTCTCAGGAAAAGGAGGAGCACTCCCTCCATGTTGGGAGTGAGTGTCTGTCGCAAGCGGAGGAGCATCTGTATTTTGACGTCTTGCTCATGAGTGACGGTAGGATGGAGCATGAGGACATGAAGAGGGGACATCAAAAGGCCAAGCTCCGTCTATGTCCCGCCTCATATGGTTGTAAGGCTTAGACTGTGACTGATAATGAATAAAATATATGATCAATACCCTGCACATGTTTAGTGCCTTTCTGAGGACTCCAAAGCACCTTACACTAGAGTGAATCATTAATCTGTGTACACACACATTCATTCACACACTGGTGGTGATGACTGATTGTAGCCAGAGCTGCCCTGGAGCGCACTAACAGAGGCAAGCCTGCTGTATACAGGCGCCATCAGTCCATCTGTCCAACACCAGCAGCAAAGGAGGGTGACGTTACGGCTGGACAATAATTCAATAACGATATATATGAATCAATAGACACATGGTTCAATAGAAAAAAAATGGATCAATAAAAACTTCAATAAAAGTTTTTTTCCATTAAAGCCTATTGGATAGCTTTATACTAGAGTCTCAAAAACACAGACCCAAGCATGCTCCTTCACCAAGCCCTCCCCTATCAAACCTAAGACAGCAATGTGACTTAAACAAGATGTGGCAGCAAGGAGAGGTGGAACAAACTGTCCTGAAAAAAGCTCCTTCCGAACGTTTTATGCATGTGGAGCAGGTCAGCATCGATGTGTTGCCAGTTACCCTTCTGCAGATGTAGCCGACTGCAACAACGGTAAATGTCACTTTCATGAAATGTCACTCTACGGTTCTTGCTTATCAAAAAGTTACACGGAAATCTTAAGGAGGTCAGAAGGGAAAAGACAGGGTGGAGTCACGCATCTCAGTCAGGTATCTTGACTTTTTTAAACTTTCTTTTTCCAAAGATCTGAGTCTGTTTCTGTTCTCTGTGAAGCTTAGGGTTAGGGTATATATCCATCCATACAGCCATCCTCTTCCGTTTATCCGGAGTCAGGTCGTAGAGGCAACAGCCTAAGTCGAGAGGACCAGACTTCCCTCTCCCTAGCCACTTGAGCCAGCTCTACTGGTCACTACCCAAAGATCATGGCCATAGGTGAGTACAAGACTAAATCCAGCCTAAAAACAGCATCTCTTTCATAACTATTGGATCACTTTACCCATCTTAAAGGGTCCTCCTGAACAATGCTCCCTTAGATATGTGCCAAGGTAGTTATTTTTGTCAATCTGATCTAGCCAACTGGGATGTGTAACGTTAGAAATGAGATAAAATCCAAGAAAGGGAATTTCCATAGAAAGGAAGTGTTTTGTTTGCCAGTCAGAGCTCCTAACATGTTATTCTGACAAAAACATGTACAAAGGCTCAGTTTTACTTTACAAGTAAAAGTAACTTTTCCTAACTTCGGATTTCTTACATTACATTTCATTACGTTACATTCTGGACTGGAATTTAAACAGGTTAAAACTGGTTCAGTGTTTTAATTTGTCTCCAGGTTGACTTGTGAAGTTGTTGACAAAATTAAACTAGACATATTAAAACACACACACACACACACACACCTGCCACAGACAGCAGAGTCCAGCTGCTGTTTTGCAGCTCATCTGTAGGCTTGTCCAGGAGGAGTATCCGGCAGTCGTACAAACCCTGGTCATCCAGCTGCAGGCGCTCCAGCCTCAGGGTGGTGGTTTTCACTAGAGACACTCGTCCTGCAGAAACAACACAAGTCAGAGAAAGATGGAGAGAAGACATGAGGGACAGGCTGATAAAACAACACGTGGTGCAAATTTCATTGTAGTCTTGCAGGTCAGAGTTGTTTTGTAACTTAAGTGCTTTGTGGTGCAGAAAAACAAAATGTCCTCGAGTGCTACCTGAAAACGCACAAACAGGCAAACATACACTAAATAAAGCACGCACACACACACACACACACACACACACACACACACACACACACACACACACACACACACACACACAGAAATCTGATCTCTTGGTTGCCAGGTGACAGCTCCCTCGAGTCATGGTTGCTTTGTAGCATCAACTCTTTATTTTGTGCAGTCTGCAGCTTTAACTGTCCATCTAGACTTCACACCTTAACAGGGAAACAATTGTCCAGTGACCCGACAGGCAGGGAGAGCGTAGTTGCAGAGAAATTGCAAATAGAAAGTGTGTAAAAGCATAACAGGGCTGATTCTGCACCTCCTCAACAGCAAACGTCCTGCAGTATGCCTCAGTGGATGCTTCTGCTGTGATGGTAATTATTAACATGCACTGAAACGTGGCGACCGTGGCAGGAAGGGATGAGCCTGACAGTTAAAAAGATCCACGAAGTTAGGGTTAGGTATGCTTCCACAGATAACACGCGCTATTTACCTTTCCAAGCCACTAAAGGACGCTTAATCCACAGAGGAAAAAGTGGTGGGAGTGAAAGTAGAGCAGAATACATATTAGCATACACTCAGGGGATTAGTTTGTTTTAAAATCCTACCCTTTGACCCTACCCCCTTGTCATGTTTACTTCCTGAGTTTGATACAGGTCACAGCGGCACTTTGCAAGAGAGGCTGCGCTGAAGCGTAAAAGGGTGTCATCAGGTAAAAGAGGTGGAGAGGAAGAGAAGGAGCATGACCTCATGCTACAGTACATGCTGCTATTTGAAAAATGCTTGATTGCAAACGATTTGAGAGCACAGTGCATTTAGTGTAGAGAGATATAGAGCAGGTAGCGTGGTCTGCAGTGTTTCACAGTGCTAATATAAAGGCTTCACAGTTATGTGCCATTTCCTTCAGATATGAGGAAAGAGGTGTGCAGTTAATCAAACTTGCATTTCAATTTCAGCTCCTAACAATCATGAAAACTATGTAATCAACAAAACATAATCAACCCTTTAAACTGGAACACGGAAATACCTCAAAACGGAAACTTCTAACCACTGAATATTACTGGGAATTTACTGTTTATTTTATAAAAGATATGCTTTTCTAAACACTTTTTTAAACTTTTGCAATTATTCTTTGATACTTTCAATTTTACAACTTTTTTCACATTTAAAAAATGCTTCTGGGTCATCTTTCCCTCTGAATGATGCATACTTCCTACCTTTTCTGAAGGCTGAACCCAAATGTCTTGTTGTCATTTCAAAAGTCAGCACAAGCGGGAGTGGAATAAAAAAAATCAGCCCACATTATTTTCTGAAATATCCCAGAACATTCTGGCGTAGTGTCCCGCAATACTTCCCATGAAAATTATGTTGAGCACTCACTCCCTGCTTAGACATTCAGTAGCTGCTTAAAAAAAATTTGTTTTATGTTTTGCTCTCCGCTAAAGCACGACTCTGTTACGTGCTGACATATAGGGGTAACTGCAGTCTCTTAAAAAATACAGAACTTTGTAGGAATGGGAATCTAGTTAAGTGGAAATAAACCATAATAAACAATCTGTGGCTCAGAGAATCACATGGCCACAGCATGGCATGTTTTGGCTGAGTAGAAGCAACAAACACAAGGGGATTCCCGACTCAAGCAATTGTGTGAACAGGTAGTGAGTATTTGATGCCTACTGATAATCTGTTTCTAAATGCAAACAAGCGGGAGTGTTCCCTACAACGCTGGGAGTCAAAGATCACCTGGAGCCTTTCATTCCTAATGAAATGTATGACCAGAGCAGTCATGTTCCACCTCGTATTTTGAAGTGAGGAGACAGAAACACAGTCAGAGAAATCAAGAATTTCCTTGAGGTGTCACAAACTTTATGTGTGTTTGGTTTTGCCACTCACATGCAGAAACAACAAGTCTGTGTGTGTGCAGCACGGCAGGGATGGGTGAGTTGATCACAACTGTAGTAAAATTAGATGGGTTTGGTTTTGCATCAGCGATGTGAATAAAACAAGAACACTTCCATTTTTGGTCAGACTCACTCCATGATGCAGACATTCGGATTTAAATGCTTAACCATTTTTAACATTTCACACCAACATATCAGCTCTAGCTCTGCTCACAAAGAGAGGAAATTATTCCCAGTTTGTTGGTTTATGGCTTGACTGACCTGCACAGGCTCCACCTTTAAAACCAACACAAAGTCCACTGATGCTTTTATTGCCCTGGAAATCTGTGCACTCATTTACAAAAGATTTGATTGGTCAAACCTCTCAAGATCCTCGATTTAAATCAGAAATATTATGATTACTTTGAAGTTATAATAGTTATATGATCTATACAAAACCTGTTCATAAAGTTCTGTGCATAAATCTCTCTCACATGAAAGAATTTCAGAAGTTTTATTCTTGACCTTTTCAATACCTTCCAGAATGAGCCGGATTAGGGCTCTGGGACTGTAAAGTTATACATTCTTCTGCTCCAGCGGTGGACCTGGTTCAAGCGGTGTTCCCCAACATGCACTTAATATAAATTGCAGTGCATGCTACTGTATTTCTCTCTTCGGACGTTAAATAGCTAAAATATCTCCACAAAACTGAACTGGGCATTTATGATGTCATTTATTGCGTCTTCAGTCTTTTGTTCCTCTTTTTTATATTGATGTTACCTGAAGTAAGAGTCTCCAGCTGCTATTAGCTTGTGCAGCTGCTCAGAAGCGGTCTTTTTGGCTCTATTCTAGCCACATCATCAGTCCATTGAGGAGCAACTCCAGTTTTAAGCTACCTGACAGGTTGTAAGGAAAAATGAAGGGAGAATTTTTGTTCATTGAACTTTTAATCAACTTGTTTGTATCACGCCCATGATCCTGGGAATTTCATGAAGCCAACACGGAAGTGGCAAAAATTGCAGTTCCACTCTCATCCGCTAGGGGCTGGCACCAGAAGTGAGCAAATCCTCATTGAGGATTTGTTAAATGCCAATTTAACAGCAGGAATAAACATGTTTACAGTCTGGTTCATAAAACAATTTTAAGTTTACTAGACAACTCTGAGGGGGTGATTATTTTTATAACTCTTCTATTTAAGTGTAATTAAATGCTTAAAATTCTGAATATTTAATGAGCATCAGAGCAACGTCAGAGCCAGAGCTAGCACTGGGAGCTAATTCCTGGGAAAGGCCTCAGCCTGGGCCTCACGTTAATAGATGTTCAGCCATTTCAAGTCTGAACTTAAGTTTGTCTGTGTGTTTGTGTTTGGATGTTAATCATGGAATTATTTGGACAAAGAGGGCAAGTTGTGGTTATTGACTGAACTAACAGATCATCCAAGCAGTTCCTGCTTCTTTTGTATCATTAAACACAATCAATTTCCCTCTGGGATTAATAAAGTATTTTTGAATTTGAATTTGCATTGAAAGTAAAATTTTATTTCTGTAAATCCCATATTTAAAAGAGCTGATTCTTATCCCAGCTCCTTCACACTCGGCTGCTGGAGCAGTTTGCAGCAGAGTGTGAAGCAGCTGGGATGAGAATCAGCTCCTCTAAATCTGAGGCCATGGTCTTGATTTGGAAAAGGGTAGAATGCCTTCTCTGGGTCAGGGATGAGGTCCTGCCCATCGACATAAATATACTGGACATCTCCTTTCCATAGGCTCCAATACCACATTTTTTAGGCTAAATGGGAGGTGGCCACCACCGCCATTTTAACCGTGTCACAGGTTCCGTCAAGCCCAGACAATTCAAAAAAAGGGAAGAGAGGAGGAGCTGAGGGTGGGGCTGTAAGGCTGGGATCAACTGACGACACCCGGTCGAACTAGCTACAAGCTAACCTGAAGCTAACCCTGGCTAGCCCAAAGCTAACACAGAGCTGGGAGCTAAGCTAACGGAGGTAGCAACCTAGCTACAACTGGAGTTAACTGTGCACAACACCAGAGCTGCAGAGTCAGAGATACGCCGGGCTGACCGCTGGGTAAAACCGGGTGGAACACAGAGGTCTCGGAGACCTCCACAGAGGTCTCCGAGAGCTCCACAAGCCGGCAGCCGCACAGCAGACAAGCACCGCTGCGATCTGAGATGCGCGGAGCTGCTGCTGGGGAGAACCGGATGGAAAGGTTTCCATCCCAGAGCTCCACAAGCCGTCAGCCCGCGCATCAAACAGAAGCCGCGATCAGACAGACAGGTGACCAGCATGACTACAGCCTTGCACAGAAGCCAGGCGCCTGAGCGGGTGGGCTACCCTGGTCCCCCAGAAACCCTTCTTAGCTTCCTGGGTTAGCTAGTAGCTACACTGGTTCATTTGTTCTAACCGTAGCAGCCTCACCCTCAGCTCCAGCTTTGGTGGTGGTGGGAACCTCCAATTTTAAATCTAAAACTTATAATTCGAGCCAATGGACATGATTTGTTCAGTATACTGTATATGGTGATGACCACACCACACGTCTATCAATACACATTTAATGTTATTGACTTGTATTCCAGCCCTATTGTGACATCACAAAAGGGGAACTTGTTTTAGACATAATTCCAGATGGAAGGACAGCTTTGATTCACACTTGGGAGTGTTTATAGAGGCAGTGCAGGCCCACATGGCAGCAGTTTTAAATAATATATCCCTATCAGCTGCTTAAGGACTATCCTCATGCATGCATCCTCTGTTTACAAGCAGATGCCGGCCTTGCAGCACTTCAGTAATCTGAAATGAGTTTCTTCAAATGGCATGCCGAACTTTAGCTTACCAGTCGAACTGAAAACCTGCGACAGAGGTGTCTGTGGGGAGTCCAACCTTCACTTTGCGCATGAAGTGAAAACTACCCAGCAACGAGCACATACGCCGAC